CTACTAGAACTCGTTCTTCTGAACAGACTCAATTTGATGTGTCCGCCTGCGCTTTTTCGACTAAATAGCGGCTCATGGCTACTGTGATCTCAACATCCAAACTTTTGGCCACTCGGTACTTGGATCACTCACCCTGGAGTCCCGTCCCTCCTCCAAAGCTCAGTTTAGGGCTCACACCTTATTTGAAAAATTTGCAACCGAGCTGCGCCTTTTCTAGTCGTCTGTGCTCGTAACACGCCTTTCGTTTCATATCAGAGAATCTCAATCATCTAAATGAACGACTAGACTGTCCTGATTCAAGCTATTCCGGACTGGTTGTCCTCTAATTAGAATTCGAAAGTTTCCCCTGTGCCCAAGAAGAGCTATCAGGAGCACTTAGTAGTTCCGAATGTATGCAGAGGAACTCAATTTTGGTCACAACTCATTGGATTCTTGTTTTCAGATAAGGTGAATGTAAACGCAAGAAGTTAAAAGTTGTATGATTTGGGATCAGGCTCATCTACTGAACATAGTGGAGTGTAATCATTTTATTTTAGGAGATGTGAAACGTGGCAAAAAGCAGACCATTCAAGCAGGTGACAATACATTTGAGCCGAAGCCGAAACGACCTGCGTTCGCTGACCTCAGCCGGGTTAGTGGTTTTTATTGATCCTTCATAACTCGGCAGCCTGTGCTGTAATGGAGCGTCATAGTCGGTAGGAAACCATCTGCACACCTGTCTGAAATCTGTGATGAAAACGTTAACATTTCAATGACTACTTCCTTACGTCTGCTACGACGAGGTACTCCCAGATATTGCAGTTGTGAATCACGTGATAGGGAGCTTCGTTGATAAAATTTCGGCCAAAAGACTGCTCCACCTCCCGACGATGTTTCGTATATAGTGGTAATACGTGATATTTAGCACCATTTCACTCACTCTTCAAAATTGGTGTTGGACGAAATGGCGGGAACAATGAAACAGCAAACTGCGAATTTACGTTTTACTCCCCCCACCTATTTTCCCCACCCTTTTTCCACTGTGCTGTTCCAAAAATCCGACCTGTTCCCACATGTGGAGCGTAGTGGTAGAGTGGCAAGTATCGCTACTCCTGCGCGCACGGTCTGAACGTCAAATCTCAGGTCGCATCTCGCCCAAGCCAACCAAGCCTTCCATCCCTCCGGGGTCGGTTAATTGGTACCAGACTTGTCTGGGAAGGATAAAACATCTGAATTGTATCGGCTGGCCCCCGCAAGTCATTTCATAGGGCCACTCGCCTCCAAATGCCACTGCAATTTGGAAACTAGAGCGCGTGATGCATCTAAAAAGGGTTTGATCAGCGGTGAAAATCTTATCTTCTTATCCTTCAACCACCGCTGTCCCTGCTTCCAGAAATCCCTCCTATTCCCCACTGCCCATACCCTGAATATTCCAAAATCAGCTCACCTCCTCCTCACCAAACACCGAACCTCTATGGACACGAGCCATCACTAATGGCTAGAACCGTTATTCAGCTGAGTGTGAACTACAGAGGAATTTCGGTCGCCGAGTTGCAGTTCACCTCGGCTGAGGAACTGCTCTTAGCGATTGCTGATGGTGAGTCACCCTTCCGGGAGTGTGTTAACACATCCATATCACGCATACGGCTGTGTCCTGATTTACACTTCAACTGGCGCGGAGCTGCTGAAGAGGTCTCGAGTTCGAGAACGTGTTTCTACCGACATCATCTATGAAGCATACGCAATCCGTGAACACCCATTGGAGTGTGTAAATGAATGAGGACAAGTAGCCAAGATGTCTCTAACCTTCCTGTAACCTTCCGACTGTTGCAAAATATACTGTGCAAGAGGTGATCTGATTCCTAGGATCTCTCCTCATCGCTGATAAAGTTGGCCTATTGTGTTATGAATCTGATTCGAAGAGGTTTTCATCGTCTTTTGTGACTTTTTTTGTCGTTTTGAATAGTCTACTTCTAGTATCTTTTTCGAAAATGATGCGAAGTATGGATTTCTTTCAGGCAATTTCTAACGTTGTGATCGATTCGTCCAAAAAACTTCACCTAACAAAAGACAGTCGAAGAAACTCTCGTCGTTCTAAGAGTCGGTCAGAGTCTTCGCTCAACTCGATCAAGGAAGATGCTGAAAGGTGAATATCTCTTGTAAAGTTAACAGGTAGTTGTTGGTCTTTCTATAGCTATGGCTCTTCTAGTGTCATGAACTTTCAGCGAAGGACTAAATCTCGCTGTTGAACCGGACCCGTGTCCTGCTTATGACTACGACGCAGAGAGCGGTCCAGATATTGCAAACGTTTCTGATTTTGCTTTCGACATCTTCAAGTACTACAAGTCCCGTGAGGTTGGGACTTACACCGTTTTTTAGCTCGGCCTCGCCTCCTTTATTTGTGGGTGTTTTTGAACCGCTTGGATTTCAGTTCGTGCAGCGTATCATTTGACTGAGCAAGACGGATTAGTTCTGTGAATGTCTTCATGAATTTCATGAAAATTGTTCCTTTTCTCTCTGTTAATGATGAGCTAATTATTAGAAAAGCATACCTTCTACCAATAATGAGCCGAAATTTAGTAGTTGTATTGTAGTGATTTCCAGAAGTTGTTCCATGTTGGGGACTATATTCATCAGCACCCACAACTAAGCAAGCAAACTCGAGCAGTTGTTGCTGATTGGATGGTGGAGGTACGTGTTTTTGACCAATTCTATGCTTCTAGACCACTTTAACCAAAACGACGTTACAGATACAAGAGACCTTCGAGCTTAATCATGAAACCCTTTATATGGCGGTCAAGATCCTCGATCTTTATCTCTCGAAAACTAAAGGAGTGCAGAAAGACGACTTGCAAGTATTGGCCAGTGCAGCTTTCTTCATTGCGTGTAAATTTGAGGTTGTTATATTTCGACTCGATAGAATGGCAGCAATATAGTTTTAGCCAATGAAAAATCTTGTAGGAACGCAGTCCTCCTCTTATCGATGACTTCATGTACGTGTGCGATGAGCAGTTTGATCGTGCTCAGATGATTCAAGCGGAAATCAAAGTTCTTGATACTGTTAACTACGATATAGGGTTTCCTCTCAGCTACCGATACGTCAGGCGATATGCAAGAGTGAGTAGATTCATGTCCTTTTGCCTAAAAGTATTTACACAAACCTCACAAGCTGACAGAGTTTACACCATTCATTTCGGTAGTATCGATGAATTGAGGAATCCAAGAAGAGTATCGGGTGCACATCGATCAATAAAATCTTGTCCTATGTTGAAGCTGGGAAGGTGAACCGATAGCTATTCGCTTTCGTAGGTTCTACGATTTGTCAAGTTTCCGAATTCTATTATTGGTACGGATACAATTCTTCTCGTGAGTTTCCCAGAAGAGGATACATCTTAGTTGGGCTGGTTTTGCAAGTACAGTGTAACCCAAATCACTTTCAAATAGAACCTCGATTTCGGACTAAGTAAAAGTACCCATAGAAGGATTAACTTTTCAAATGGATCTGTATCTTTGTACTAGCCAACAGAAATGTATTTATGTATTCAGGTGACCAAGACTGATATGCCGAAGCTGACGTTAGCGCGTTACATTCTCGAGACATCACTGATGTTTTACGAGTTTGTCGGGGTTTCGGAATCGTTGATGGCAGCTGCTGCTATTCTTCTGGCTTTCAAGATGCATGACAAAGAAGCTACTTGGTCAGTGGAACAATCGCATTGTGCTCCAACTTTTTGTGCTATTCTGGATCGGTAATATATTTCCAGGTCTCCGATTTTACATAAGTATTCCGGATATAAGGCCGATGATGTTGAACCTCTAATGTGGGAGTTGAATCACATGCTCCACAAACGTCGAATCATATACGAGCGCTTAGAGACTGTATTTTCGAAGTATAGCCATGAGTGAGTATTTTTCCACCATATACTATTCAGAAAAAATGTATTTGTAGCTTTTGAATAGTTTGCATTAAACCTACCGTAAACCGTGTTGATCTTTCTTACTTTCAGAGTGTTCTTCTGTGTCGCGTCAATTCCTCTACTTCCAAGCATATACCCCATGGACAGAGCAGTGCAAGCTCCCGACGTCGGCTCGTCTTCACTCTAGTTGTCTTCTGGTCTATGTATAAGTGTATTCATAATCATGTAATATTAGCGATTGCAATGTATTCCGACTAGCTATATTGTTTATTTAGCATTTATAGCAGTTTAGGACAGAGTCCTTCACATTATCTAATCCACTGCGCTTTCGACGTTCCTCTCAATCTATCACATCAGCCGTAACTGTTCTATATGTGCCCTCTTTTCCACTGATGCCTCTTCCATGCTACGTAACTCACTCTCATACAAACTCTTCACGTTCTCATCAACAGATGGAATTTGGCGCTTTTCAGAGGAAATAATCAAATCATTAATTTACTTAAATAAATGCGGGAAGGCTAAAAATTGTCGTGGTATCATCACTGACCTCTTTCCACAACTGCCAATAAGCACTATACCGAATTTTTCTTTGAAGTTAACTAATTATTCGTATTGGATCGGAACAAGCTTGTTCTGGATGTTTTGTCATTGCTCGTTGTTCCATTCTCGACTGAACGGTTCTAAACCTTGTGTTTTGGCCAATAAAGTGTTCGAAGGCGTTTTCTTTTTGTGGAACAAGGTCTAAATATGAGGTAGTCCGGAACCTAAGTACTGTCAAGGTTTCAGATGTTGTCCACAGTACTAAGTTTCTCAGAGACAGGTAGTTCCCATTTTCATCCCTTCATCACAGAGCTCAGATCAGTTTTAATTTCGGGTTAAATTTATCCAGTTAGGTATGGATAAGGTTATTAGGTGATCACTACAATGAGAAGTGTTGGTGGACCGTAACGCAACTTTCCACTTATTATCACGAAAAAGGAATCTAGAGACAAGCTTATCAGCGATAAATATTGGCATAAGGAATAGAAAACCGACTCCTCACATTTTTCAATACCTCGTACAAGGTGTAAAGCGTTAGCTCATGTATGGTGCATTGCGATATGCATTTCAGATAGTTCTATCTTGTTTTCTTTGTCAATAGTCTAAACGAAATTGTGCACTTTTTTCCACTGGAAGGTCGTTTTGATTTAGAGTGGCCAACGGTGAGGATTTCTCGGTAGGAGTCGTATTCGTCTCTATAGAGAGGTATGTGGTAGCGGGTTTTTGTGGTTATTTTCCCAGAAATCTTCTTGAAATCTGTGAAAATGCGTGAAAGCTGATGAAAGTTCACAAAATACCCACAGTGTTGTAAATTTTTGCTGTTTTCATCTCCACTCATGGCTCCTCACTGTGGGCTCAATCTGGCCCAATTTGCTCCCAAATCACATGCCCGTCATATCAAAAAGAGGAGTAACGGCTCCGGCAACAAATACCTAACCATTTGGCCGGCCCGCGGCGAACGCGGCCGAGTTGATAGGTGCCCGCGAACTCAGCACAGCACAGTTCGCGGGCACCTCGAGTGCGTTTTCAACGGTTCGCGGGCACAATCGACTCGGCCGCGTTCGCCGCGGCCGCGCCCAAATGGTTAGGTATTGTCTGGGAGCCGGAGTAAACTGCATACTTCCGAGTAACACATCGAAGCCGTATCGCCGATGTGGATAGTCATTTCTCGGCCACCGACATGCACAGTTCCGCGTTTTTTTTCGTCAAAACATTCTTCGTGCATGCTTTTAAAGAAGAGGGTATTTAAAGTAATTCGTATTATAAGTCATATTTGATGCGGCCAGAGCATATCTTTTCCGCCTGATGCCCTCCTTCCTATTTTGACATTCTAAGTCAAACGTCGCCGAGTTTTCTCAGCTAAGCGATATTGCGTATATAAAGACATCTAGCGTCTCGAGAAATGCGTTAATATTCGAGATTTCGTATTTTTTTCATCTCAGCTTCAAGTTTTCCCCTATTTCTCAATTGTTTCTGATCAAGGCTCACCGTCCATTTCTGAGCGCTTTTCTCTAACATGATCCTGCTGATCATGGCATTACTTGGTGCGAAAAAAGGGCCTTAAACGACTCTTATGCGCACCCGACGAAGGAAGAGCTTGGAAGGTTAGGGAGACGACCAATCAAGTCGTCCGGCCTAAATGAGGTATGGCTCCGCTCACCGCGGCGGGCTAACGTTGCGCGCGGCACGTCAAATTAGTGGCGGCGGTCTTTGTCGATAGGCCTTGGCTTACTACGTGGTCCTTGTTTATAAGCTGCTGGTGGGGTCAAAGAATTAATAAGACCAAAATTCCAGACATCAGTGAGCCAACAAGAGTCACCTTAGGATCTCCGCTATTATTTAAGCCTCACTGTACAGAGCTTGTGCTACGTACAGGTAGTCCTTCTGAACATAATGAGACTTCTTTATAGTCAACCTCTGTTTGAATTATCATCAGAGACGAGAATAATCTGAAGGCTTAAGTCGAAAAATTATTACGTTCAACGCAGCGGCAAAAGGTGAGGAGGCAATAGCACATATGAACTGAATAACTTTAATGGCAAAGCGAAAAGGAATCTTATAATTTTAGGCAGTGAATCACATAGCCGTTGTTCACACACTGACTTCATCTAATCTACATTTCACAAGTGCTAGAACCCCTGAAATTCCTACGGCCACGGCCACGCTCGCATTCCTCGGCTGCGCGGCTCGACCGCGGCAGACCTAAGCCATTGCACGATTGGATTGTACGCGGCACCCTGAAGGTTGTAGGACGAGTAGCGCGAATTTTTTTCGAAAGCAGCTCAGACTTCTAACGAACGGTTGACGGACTACTTGAACTCTGCCCTTTACCGCCTCTGCGCCATTATTGCTTCTAAATCGCAAGAGTTATTTCGTAGTGACACTCCCATTCTGAATGGTCTTCATGGAGATTCATTTCATTATGAGAAACCGTTCAGCGTTCTCATCTATACAGGGATGAGATGGTTTTGAGCAGAATCTACTCTATCAAAGCTCAATTCACTAGAGCACGCGAATAATTTGAAGCAAGCTCTATCCTCGCTCTCCATGCGCCGCCTGCGTTTTCACCACGCCCACTTTATTGTGCAGCAGCGCCTTCCTTGTTTATACCTCTACGGTGCAGGGCGCGATATTTTCCTTGACTTTTTTCGTTTTCCATTACAAGTACATTGTTTCTGTGGAAGTTCCGAAAGGAGAGGGATAGGTGCTTGAAGTTTTTGTTTCTGTTAATGTACGTACATGCTCTTGCATAGTCGTCCATTATTCGTCCAAATTACTGGCCACTGAATTATATTGCTTAAGCTCTTCAAGAATTACTTCGCCCTTGCGTGAAACCCTTGCTTCGGCTTTTTCAGGCTCTCTTATCAAAGATTCCATTTAGCATTCCATTCTTCGTTTTTTAAGATTACAGATTCTTCCATTTTCGTGTTCTTTTCTAATTTGCCCAAGGATTTGTTTATTCCTTTTTTTTCTGTTCTCCCACTTTTCGCGAGTCCAGTTTAGCCATAAGGGGATAGGTTCCTGGTAGTCTTATTTGGATACGTGAGTCTAAGGAAGACCATTCCAGGAGCATACATTTATTGAGAGAAAAGGCTTCAGTTATTAAGAACACTATGTTGAAAGGATGATATATGAGCCTAATTCGCTTTTTATATGCATATGAATTTCGTGATTGGATGCGAATGTTTGCAGGACAGAAGCAGTCTCATTCTCCCTTTTTTCAGTTCACAGGATGGGTGTGTTACACACCCTCGACTTGGAAAATTTTAAATCTTACAAAGGAAAACAAGTGATAGGCCCGTTCAAGAGATTCACAGCAATTATTGGCCCAAATGGATCAGGTGCGTCTATTTGAATGGCTTTTGGTGAAGCATGGTGTTGCATTAATCTCGCGTAAAGATTTTCGTCATTTTTAGGCAAATCGAATCTTATGGATGCAATAAGTTTTGTGTTGGGAGAGAAGGCTACGAGTTTGCGTGTGAAGAAATTGGGTGTAAGCTCCTCTCTCTCAAATTCTTCTGTTTTTATACCCATTTTGATTAGTGATAAATTTGTGAGTCTTTGTTGACCTCGATGTCACATATTTTCAGGATCTCATTCATGGAGCGCCGATCGGAAAACCTGTGTCAAATCGCTGTTCTGTAACATTAAACTACAAAGAGGATTCTGGACGTATGAGAAGTTTTACTCGATCAGTTACCAACGCGGGTTCAGAGTTCCGTGTAGATGGGAAGGTGAGCGTCAACTTAATCACAATTTATGCCGTTTCTGCAAGTTCCTGTGTGAAGCTTTCGATTTTTAACTGTTTGTATTAGAGAAGTTGTTTTTGTCAGTTCATTGAGCACTATCCTGGGCGGTTAAAAACGCTGCTAATTGCTCAGCCCTGTTCCGTGCCTTATCAAATTTTGTTGAGTCAGTAGCACATATGGGAAAAAGGAGATTAAGAGCAGAAATTGGGAAGTTAACCTTCGGAAGACTTCTTCTCATATTTCATCGGATCACAGGTTGTCTCGGTCCAGCAATACAATCATGAAATGGAATCTATCCAGATATTCATCAAAGCAAAGAACTTCCTTGTTTACCAGGTAACGAATAATTTTGCAATGCTAAGGTTTTCTTTTTCATGATACACTCCTCTTGTGTCATCCTTTAAATGACTTCATTTCAGGGTCAAATCGAATCTATTGCCATGAAGAATCCAAAAGAACGAACCGCACTATTTGAGGAAATTTCCAGGTACAGTCACCTTTTTATGACTTAACACTACCACCTCATAATGCTGAGTCGAGTGACTCTATTATCGCTATGTTTGCGTTCTTGACTTTTTGAAGGTGATGTAACTGAATGTTAAGGTCTTGTGAACTCCAACCTGAATATGATCGCTTGAAGTTGGAGCTGCAAAAAGCAGAAGAAGACGCTCAACAAAATATGCACAAGCGTCGTGGTATTGCCCAAGAAAAAAGAGAAGCCAAATTGGAACGGGATGAGGCTGAAAAATACCAGCACATGAAGGATGAATTGGTAAGGCGTGTTTTGCTTCTTCCCCGAATAAGCTTATATTTTCTAGGTTATTTGGCTTATTTGTGTCTAATATGTTGAACTTTTTAGGCTGCAAAGCAACGACAGCTTTACCTGCTTGAATTGTTCTATTGTGAACGCTACGGAAAAGAAGCACAGGACGATTTGTCGAATAGGAGAAAAATGGTGGCAGAGCTCGAAAACAAGAAGGTAAGCCAAAATTTCGTGCTCCTTGACATCTTCCCTCTTCTCGATTCTCCTGATAAAATTCACCTTTAATTTTACTTCCACTGCAGGAATGTGTTTCAGAATGAAGTTGATGAGTCTGTAAGTGAGAAACACAAGTTGGTCAAGAAGTCACAGCGAGATAGTCATAAACTTGAAAAAGAGATTGCTGATAAGGTAGTTTAGTCAGCTGTTTTTTCGCTGTAAGGTAAAGTTTAGTCAACTGTTTACATCAGTTTGGAAACATATTTTATCTGCCAGGAACTGAGAAATTGCGGCCATGAGCGGGACCCACTATACGTTACAAGTGAAGCAGGAAGTCCTTCATGTCAAGACCAAGTTGGAAACGTGCAATAAGACGTTGAATGCGGCGCAGAAGCTCGCTGAGCGCAATGAGGAGCAGGTGCAGGCCATGGAGAACTCCGCAAGGTGTGTGCCATTACTTTCTCTCCTCGGCATGATATTAGGTTTACTTTTCAACATCTCGATTTTTCCTATTTAACAACCTGTATACATTGCGTTCTGTTTTTTGCTATTGACTACAAAAAAAATTGAAGAGAGTTGGAACGGCAAGAAAGCGGAATGCGAAGCAGAACTCGAATCACAAAGTCAGGAACTTGATCTGCATCTAAATGAAGAGCAGGTTTGAGATTTTTCTTCCTTTCTCATGTTAGGTTTTTTGTGTGTTGCAATATTGCGCTCTAATTTGTTTTGAATTTTTTGAAATCTTTCAACCCAGCTTTATCCTTCATTCCATAAGTGTATTGTTGTTTAGATAAACGAATATGTCATGTTGAAACGTGAGGCTGCCAAAGAGATCCGGAATAATGGATATGCAGCTCAATTCAATGAGACAAGAACATGAAACCGATCGAAGGTAACGGCTTCTTTTACACTCATGATGTTTTCTTGGCTCATGCAAACTTTCATCAAACTTCCTTATCTCGCCAAATTAATTTTTTTCAGTTCTAAAGTAAATGAAGAACGTCGCATGAAAGCGTGGCAGGAAAAGATCAAAAACAAGAAACAGGAGATCGAGAGACTGAAGAAACAGGTATCTCTCCCAGTCGACTACATCAATATTATTACACTGTTAACAAAGTCGTCTTGCCGCCTCCATTGCCATACAAGCCAGTTGAGTGCTTCACTCTACGCTTCTGACAGTTACCTCTCTGCGTTGTGTCCCTGACTCGTCGTTAGAAACACTTGTATTGCCTGAAGCACCCATTTCATCGTTCTAGCCGAAGCTGTATTGTAGTGGCGCTGCTAGTGACCGAGAAATAAGACTTTCATCCCAGACATTCATGCTTCACCGAATGGGCGGATTTCTTAGGGTGTAAGATGTCGGTCAGACGCTGCGATTTGCATTCGCTCTGCTAGAGAGCATGCAATCGCAGAGTCTGAACGATATACTAATGTGACGATGACGACGCTTTTTTGCAGATCGACTTTCTTGCGGAGAACGCGGAGCAGCAAAAAGTGGTCCTGCAAAACGAGAAGCTGAATTTGGTGTCAATGGAAAAGCAAGTGAAGGAAAGCAAGGAAAAGTTAGAGAAGGTACAGCAATCACTGGGTATTTACATCTTTCATCGCATCTGGCTTTTCATAATTATTCTTTCAGGTATCTGTTGAGCTCAATGAAATTAACAAGCAGCTCTCAGACGCAAGTGGTGATTCGGCGGAGTCTGAGCGCTTAAGACGTCGCAACGAAGCCATTGAAAACTTGAAAAGAGTTTTCCCAGATAAGGTGAGGAGGCGAACTTTCAGCTCACTCAAATTTGATGAGTTTCAGCTTAAAGATGGCGTATAAACACCTTATTAGATTGGTCACACATATTTGCTTTGAAATATCTTTCTCTAGATTCATGGCCGACTAGTGGATCTGTGCCAACCTAGCCACAAGCGTTTCAATTTAGCGGTGACGAAAGTGCTTCAAAAGCACATGATGAGTATTGTCTGTGACTCAGAAGAGACCGCAAGAGATGCGATCTTGTATTTAAAAGTGAGTTTTCTTCTTTCAGTTCATCGCAGAAGTGATCTGCTTCATTAATATCGAGATTAGTACGAAGTCGATAAAATGTCGTGACATTGGGAAAAGCTTACCCATAATTGAGTTGAAGTGTGGAGTATTTTCGGACTAACGGAGATTTCTCTTGATAGGCTCCGTGAAATTCACCACAGTCGTACTACGACATCAAAAACTTTTGAAATAACAAATTGGAGAGCTTTCTTGTTGAAACTTTGGCTTACTGTGTGTTATGATGCCATATATTGGAGAACTCACAATCACATAAGAGCCATGCGGTAGTACCTCAAAAGAACCATTGCTACACTAAACACTGACTCACGGTATTGCGACCGTTGATAAAGCTCGTGTTTGATGTTTCCGCAAATCTCTCTCTCACTCGAATTCATTTGCGTAGTCTCCTATTCAGGCAGACCGTCATGAATAAGAGGAGTCCAATCACACAATTGTTTTCCTTCCTTCCACCTCTATTTCCGGGAGGAGTAGCCGAGCCGTACTGTTTGTTCTGTATCAGTATAGCAACTAGATTCAGTTCTATGAAATCTTTCATCTATTTTTTTTATTTCGGTAACTTTCTAGGAGCAGCGCTACCCTCCTGAAACTTTCCTTCCTCACCATGGTCTTGATGTTCATCCAATTAACGAAAAGCTTCGCGAGCTCACATATCCGAAGGGAGTCAAATTGGTTTTTGACGTGATTCAGGTAAGTTCAGTTTTCGACTCTTTGTATAGCCATATGCCCATCATATGCCCGCATGCCCATCGTTTATTGCAGTGCAACCATCCTGCTGCAAGAAAGGCTCTACAATTCGCTTGTGGTAATGCACTCATTTGTGAAACAGCTGAGGATGCGAGGACGCTTGCGTATGGTAGCGCTGGAGGTGACAGGTCTGTTTCCAAGTTAC